AAAGTTCAGAAATGATGACCAAGGTGAACGCGAAGAAAGGGCATGAGAACAGGTAGTCGGGCAGACGGAGATGAGGTAATGAAAACAAGCAAAAAGACCGAAGAGACAAAGGAGGAAGAAGGATGTAAGGAAGGAAGGGTTGGGAGATAAGAAGCAATTCTGGGAGTAGGTCACAGGGTAGGGTTAGAACGCAAGGCAGCGTGTTTTGTACGATTGGCCTTGAGACCCTCAGTACCATGTTGTTTGTCTGAGAGGAGTTGATAGAATGGCTTCTTGGGCAGAGACAAATAGGATAGATATTAAAGGCAGACGTGTAGGAACTCCAAGAGAAGATGAAAGATGCACTTGGCAAAGCGGAAGCGTATTTCTGTGGGTCTTGGCCGATGTAAAACTTTCTCCTGGTAATGTTTTCACAACACCATTGCTTGTTCACGGATTCCTGCGATGCTTTGGGCGTTTTATTCCTTTTAACCACCTGCTGTCATTAGATATGTTTAGAATAGACTAGTTTTTTTCTCACTTTCCCCCCGCCCTCCCCGCAGAGCTGGATCAGCCGATGCGCTACAACAGCAAGATGATGAACAGCATCTGGGGTCGCTATAACGAAGACTCCGTCCACAACTTCAAGTCCCTTCAGTGTGCCGGGAAGGTGGCCGCTGAGTCCCAGCAGACCCAGGCCCTGCAGATGCAGCAGCAGCAGCAATTGCAGCTGCAGCAACAGCAACAACAGCAACTGCAGCAGGCTGCGCCGGAGCCCGGGTCAGTTCCCAGAGTTTTTGCTCATAGTTGCTTGTTTTTTTTTTTTTTTCCTTTTTTACATTACTTATTTTTCTTTTTTTATATAATGATTCTGTCTGAGTTCTAAAACATGAGGATTTATGACCAGTAACTACTAAGAATTTCCCTTTAGTATATTATCAAAGAAAACTGATGTTCCATTTAGTCAACAAAACAACGCAGTGTCAAGTTGAAATAACCTTTTGAGGATAGTTGGCACAAGGACAATCTGGCTCATCGTATTCTTTTCCCGCAAGGCTGGGGCTCAGACAGCGCCTGGGGGAGCTGGGACAAGCGGTCACCGCCAACTTCATGGATAACCTGCATCAGTACTAGTGTTGCTGCTCGAATGTCAACCCTTCCAAGTCATGAGTCAAGCCACCCCACCCCACAGCACAGCACAGCATGGCATCGCCGCTGCGAAGGACGCCGGGTTGAAATTTGAAATCCGAAGAGCCCGGTCGGTTCCTTTCCCTAACCCGAAACAGCGAGGATTTCTCTGTCTCTCTCTCTTTCTCTCCAGACTTATCTATGCTTTTATATGCAGGGAGTAAATACAATGTCCCCCGATCTTTTTTATCAATACATTCGTTTTTGTTTTTTTATTTACTATATTTCATCTAACCTTTTGTAAAGTAAGCTCAGTTAACTAAACACAACAGCTTAACGTTGCTTCACTGGTAAGAGCTACTTCCTAGGAAGGACAGAGGCTCGGTTTTACTTCAACATGAAGAATCGCAGTGAAAGATCTTATGATCTTTGGAAGAAATCAAGATTTTTATAACGAAGTGAATGGTTGACAAATGTGCAGCAACGCACGGTTAATGCAGAGAATATATTAATAAAAAAATATATTATAATCGATTAGATGGTGTAACAATATTACTAACCTGCCTTTAATGTAGACTTAAGTTTATATCGAGTGAAAAATATAAAAGAACATTCTCAAAGAACGGGTTATAAATACCGGAATGTGAAAATCCCAGTTAAGTGATATGTAAGAGAATTCGCTATTCGTTATGATCAGTCACTATAAATAAAATGACAAATTATTTTTTATTTTTGCCTAAGCCTATTATTGGATGCATCTTACGGCATGTAACATTCGCACGCTTCTCACATACTAATCCGCATGCCTCTTTAACGAAACGGATTGTTCACTTGTTGCGTCGTCCACACCACACCATTATTATCCTTGTCAATGTATTTTCGCCCAGAAAAGAATTCATTCATATTTATTTCTCGTGATTAAATGCAACAAGCGGACATCTACTAGGGTGTATTTAACTAACATTTTAGAGATTAAGATTATTTTTTTTCTACTTATGAGCGAGTCCCGATATTTTGCTCCCATTTCAAATTTGGACGAAGAATTACACGAGCATATTGGGTGTTCTTGAAGGCACCCTTCCCTCCCAAGAGACAGTCTGTCTACAGAGTGAGTTTTTCTACGATAAACCAGAGATTTCCTCCCCTCTAATTGTTAGAAGGAAAAATGTCGGCCACTTCAACACGGATTTAATAATGATGCAAAAAATTTAGTTTAAAATAGCCGAAGTTTGTTTCATTTGGGAAAACAAAACGAATGAATGACAAAATTGACCCGAATCCAAGACATTTATTTTCCGTTTTCGCTTCCAAAAGCTCCGAAGATGCCAGTGCCTTTCCGAACTCGAGAGCCACGAAATATACTTTGACTTGAACCTTCTGTTGAAATCTCCCT